GATTTTTGTATGTTGATCTTGTATCCTGCTACTTTGCTGAATTGGTCAACTACGTCCAATAGTTTTCTTGCTGAGTCTTTAGGGTTTTCTAAGAATACTATCATGTCATCAGCATAGAGGGATAATTTTACCTCCTCGTTGCCTATTTGGATACCTTTTATTCCCTTCTCTTGTCTTATTGCTCTTCCGCTGGCTTTTTAATCACTAGGGAGTATATTGCCCAGGTTTCTACCAAAGAGCAGCTGGTGGGTTCCACATGCGTTTGGGATCGCAATACAGCTTCTTACCACTAGACCACCATAGCAACATGTAGGGCATGCTGAGCTGCTCTCCACCTGCCACTGTTCAGGAAAAGACAATCTCCTCCTGTAAGCACAGCTTTAATAATAAAAAACAAACAAAACCAAACACACGACCACTACAAATAAATTCACTGCCCTGGAGTTATTCCATCTCATGGTGACCCATCAGGTTTTCTAAAGGGAGGAGATTGCCACCTCCAAAACTCAAAAGAGGCCATCATGAGTCAAAATCGACTCAAGGACATTGGGTTTTGGATAATCTTCCCAGGACCAGATTGCCGGGTCTTTTTGTCTACCAAGCCCCTGGTGGGTTTAAACCTCTAGACTTTTCAGCTAGCAGCCAAGTGCTTAAACATTGTGCCACCAGGACATCTGTGCTCCTTATGCAGTATAGCAAAATGGGCTAAGAACTGAGGTTCAGGAGCCATGAGTCATTGTCCTTGTCTTTTTGAGGGAGGATTCTTTTGGAGACAGTTACTAAGCATGTCACAAGTACTTTGTAATCATGAGCTTTCTTGGTAGCTTTTAAAAAACTTTGCTTTGTTGCTATCAACTCAGCTCATTGCTGTTGAGTTAGAACCAACTCATAGTTTACTTGCCAGTGGGCTTCAAAGGCTACAAATAGCATGGGAGGAGGGTGCCAGTCTTTTTCCTGAGGAACCACTGGTAGATTGAAGCTGCCAGAGACTATGGCATTTCAGCTAGTATCTCAACTGTAGTTCCTATAGGAAGGTTTGTTTGAAGACCTCAGAGCTTCATAGGAAACTAAAGTTTCCAGAGACTGGAGCTCTTTGCCCTGGTTTCAGCTAGAGCCGAGCAGAGCCTGACACACTAGGATCAGAGTTGTCTGAGGGCAGCTCTTCACTCTGTAGTACTCACAGACTTTCTCAGGGATGTTACCTGGATAGTTTTGTTGTCAGTTGCCCACAACTCTTTCTGACTCCCCAGTTCTCACCATCTTCAAAACTGTGGGTTCTCAAGTTCATTGTCAATGGCCACTGTGTCTTTTGAGTCCTTTCAACCCAGGGGATTCAACTTAGAGCCCTGTATCAGACAGTTTTCTGTTGTGATCCATGTCTGTCTTGGTCTGGAAACTGCTCTAAACCCCATTCACCAGGCATGACCCTGCTGGTATTTGAAATACTGGTAGTACAGCTTCTGACTTCGCAGAAGCAAGTAAGTCACCACAGTATGGCAAGCTGGCAGGCAAATAGGGACAGGTGGCTTTAAGAGAGCTCCTCTGTGACTATATATGATTCCTGTGCTGAAGTCGATCTGTACCTAAAGTTGATCACATCTGTGGTGGGGACATCATCTGATTTTCCTTCCCCAATCCCTCTCTCTCTCAGTCCACTTCATGTGTTTTCACAGGGCAAAAAGCCCCTTGCCATCTGGAATCTTACTTCTTGTTATTATGTGCCATCAAGTCACCTGTGAGTCATAGCAACCCTGTGAAAAATAGCTCTGAAACCCACCCTGTCCTGAGCCAGTCTCACTGTCTTCAACACACCTTACCCCCATTACCCCAGTTACTGTGTCAATCCATCTTATCCAGATCCTTCCAAGCATCATGTCCTTCTCTAAGGACTGGTCCCTCATGGCAGTATGCCCAAAATATGTGAGACGGAGTTTCAAAATCCTTGCCTTCAAGGAGCAGCTTGTTTTCACCCTCTTCAGGACAGACTGTTTTTTTCTCTAGGCTGTCCATGGTATATTCAGTACTTTTCCCCAGCACTACAATACAAAGACATCAATTCTTCTGTCATCTGTATTCATTGTCCAGCACTCTGATGCATAGCAAGTAATTGTGAAGACCATGGCCTGACTCTAGTGTTCCTTAGTCTCTAGACTGATTGTTGCTCTTTAGCACTTTGGAGAGGTCCCTGACAGCAGATTTCCCTAATGCAATTTCTCTTTTGATTTCCTGACTGCTGGTGCTATAAGTATTGATTGTGGATCTGAATAAGCTGAAATTATTAAAAATCTCAATCTCTTCTTCATCTATCATGGTGCTGCCCAGTGATCAGAATCTCTGTCTTCTTGATGTTGAGTTTCAATCCATATTGAAGACTACACTTGACTTTTTGTAGCAAACGCTTCAAGTCCTTCTCAGTTTCAGTGAACAAGGTTGTACCATCTGCATACTGCAGATTGTTGATGAGTCTTCCTCCAATCCTGATGTCACATTCCTCCTCATAAAATCCAGCCTCCAGAATGATCTGTTCTACATATAGATTGAAAAGGTACAGAAACAGGATGCATCCCTGATGCGCTTCTTTCCTGAGTTTGAACATATAGTGAGTGTTTCCTTGCTCTATTCTGAGGACTACTTCCTGGTACAGGTATAGGTTTCACATTAGCACAATTTATATTCTGGGATTCCCATTCTTCTCAAGGTTAGTCACAATTTGTTGTTATCCACACAGTCAAATGCCTTTGCACACTCAATAAAACACAGATAGACACTCTTCTGGTACTCTTTGCTTTCAGCCAAGATCCACCTGGCATACACAATAATGTCTCTAGTGTCACGACCTCTTCTAAACCAGGCTTGTATCTCTGTCGATGTACTGTTCCAGTCGTTTTTGGATAATCTTCAGCGAGATTTTGCTTGTGTGTGATATTAATGATATTTTTGGTCACCTATTTTTAGAATTAGAATAAATATGGATCTCTTCCAGTCACTTGGACAGATAGTATACAGTGGGGGAGTAGTTATTAAAACCATGATCCAAAATACGATTGAATGGAATACCAATCTGCTCTGTACTAGGTTTTGAAATTTTGGTATTTCCAAACTCAGTTTTATTGAAGATGTACCTCCCCACAACCCATCTCATTAAGGGATATATTTCTAAAATGTTCTAAAATATATTAATATTAGGATAAATGTATAGGATACATAAAATGGAAATTCAGTTCCATTTAAAAACTCTCAAACTCATTGTCATTTTCCACAGAGCTGCTGATAGAGTTCGAACTGCCAGAGAGGTTCCACATTTGTGTTAGCAACGCAATTCCCAATGGACTAGCTAATAGAACTTCCTTCCATTAAAGTCTCTGTGAAAAAAGTACTTGCTCATTTTTTTTTAACCTTTGACTATAATTTGGCACAGGCTAGAGCAGGTTTCAGGGCTATTATACTTAGGGTCACTATGAGTCACAACTCATATGAGTCAACAACTTATTTGAGTGAAAGTTTACAAAGCAAATATTCCATTCAACCATTCAAATACACTTTGGTTCATGACTTAATAACTCCTACATTGCAGACGTCCCGCTTCTCTATGGTTCTTGTTTCTATTCATCTTTCTGCCCTCTTACTTCCTGCCATTTGAGCTTTATTCCTGGTGGTTCATGTCTTTTTATGCTCCATTACTGTTTTACATTTTAAATTCTAACATCTAATTTCAGAAATGCATGTAGAAGATGTGCAGCTCAGTGTATTGTCCCAAAGTGAATCCATCTGTTTAACCAGCCCCAATGTTGAGAACAAAATATAGAGAACAAGACCTCCCACCCACCCACACACTCCTTTCCCATGACTGCGCACCCAAGAGTAACCACCAACCTGATTTCCAATATAACTCTCTGGATTTCATATTAGTATGTTGTTGTTATGTGTCGTCAAGCTGGAACTGACTAATAGCTGACCCTCCAGCAGGTTTTCAGAGACTGTACGCCGCACAGTGGAAGATCACCTATCTGTCTCCAGATAGAGCATCTGGTGGATTGGAATCACCTGCCTTTGGATTGGCAGCACAACTCTTTGCCACTAGACCACTAGAATCTCCCCTTATATAATTATAGGATATATTCAACAACAACAAATAAAAAACATTTAAGTGTAGGATGTATTGTGCATGGCTTCTTTCACTCAATAGCACATTTGTAGAGTCTTCTATTATATTTATATATAACTTTAGATAGTTCAAGTTTATCACTATGTATTATTATGTGAATAAACTATAATTTCTCTTAATCTTTGGACATTGGGTGTTGTTTTTTTAAACATCACCAATTTGTTTAGACAGTTGGAACCTTTTAAATGACAGTGAAAATTGTACTTTTAAACATCCCTGTGACAAGTATTGGCAACATTGATGAGCTTTGCAACCATTTAAATGTAGAATGAGAATTATTTCTTAGTTGTCATCCTAATACAAGTGAAGGTAGTGTCTTGAAGAACCCTGCTCTAGGTCAGCACTCCTGAAACTTGCCTGGGCAGCATTAAATCAGCAGGGAATATTGATACCTCAAAGGTCCTCACTGAGGATGCTGCCAGGTTCACAGTTGATGCTGATGGTGCTAAGGCAGAAACCACACTTCAGAGCAGCAGGGCTCTGTGGGCATGCAGGTGGATCAGTGTAATGGAGAGGGCAGGAAAATGGGGTGGCAAATGCAACCTTTAAAGCTATAATAGTTCAGCTGCCGTCACAAAATGCCACAGATTAGGTGGTCCATAAGGATAAAAGGGAGCTGTGCTGCTAAATGGTGGTTTGGATCCCCTCCCGGCTCTAAGGGAAAAGAGAGTGTCTTCTCCCAGGCAGTAAAGCCTTGGCTACACAATGGAGGCTCAGCTAGGGGTCAGTTCTAACTTAATGGCAAGGAGTGCGAGGGACTTTTCATTACAAAGGCAGAAATGCGTTGTCTCAGTTCTGGAGGCTAACCAGAATTTGGATGTGCTGACTTCTTAGGACTCTGAGAGACACTTCTCCTAGCTTCTAGTGACAAATTATGGGCAGTTCCCAATTTACAACTGGGTTCCAACAACTCACTAAGCCAGTTCCTACAAAAACTGTATACTCTGTCCCTTTTATTTTCTCCTCTTTATCCATCATTATTCTATTATTTTTACCCTCTAGGCCACCAGAGCTCCCTTTGGGCATGTTGTCAGGAGCAGTCAGTTCTCGAGGGGAAAAAACATGTTGGGAAAGGTGGAGGGTCACAGAGAGAGGAAGACTTTCAACAAGATGGATTGACACACACAAACCTCCCCCCCAAAAACAAAACAAAACAAAAAAAAGACGAATTGACACAGTGACTATAACAGTGGCTTGAGTATAACAGAGATGATGGCATAGGAAATTTGAGGATGGCCAAGTTTAGATCTGTGCTCACAGGGTAGCTATGTATCATAGTCTACAACACCTAACAAGTATTTTTATAAATCACAACCCTGAACATAGAAATCTGAGAATGATAACATTTGCACGTTTGCAAATTATGCACAGCAACATTGTATTTAGTGTGTGTCACCAACAAGAAGATGTACAAAGACATGAAACAGATGGTCGTAAATGCAAGTGTTTTTTTTTTTTTTATCTTGAATGAGTTAATCAAGGGCTGCTTGTACACAGAGTACCTGTGGAGGACAATCTGCTGCACAATCTGCTGCTAAGTCTCTGTTATAAGGACATCATAATGGTTTGCCTTCTGCTGTCAGAGTCCTGACTCAGCGAGAAAACTCCATCGGATTTGGTTGGGGTTGTTTGTTTGTTTGTTTGTGGTGGTGGTGGTGGTAGTTCATTGGATTTTTGAGGCTGTAGTGGTAAGGAGTTGTGCTGCCATAACAAAGGTACTCGGTTCTAATCTCATCTCTGCTTGGGGGGCCTGTGGAGATGGGCTCTGTCATTTTATGTGATTTCCCAGAGCATCAGTTATGAGTTGGTCCTGACTTGATAGTACACAATAACAACAAGAGGAGACTGTCCTTTTTTCCACATGTAGTGGGCTGGTAGATTTGAACTGCTGACATCTCAGTTGTCATCATTGGTGTGTACCACTGCGAAGTTGGAACTGACTCATAAATTAGCCCCTAGAGGGTTTTCAGAGGAGACAGTAATTACATAGAAGGAAATGACACATATTTCTCTGAGGAGCAACTGGTGGATTTGAACCACTTGCCTTTGGGTTGACAGCACAGCTCCTTATCCACTTGGCCACCATACCTCTAGCGTTCCTTCATCTGGCTTAGGATCCAGTATGATGCTGTTAACTGGTAACATCTTCCCAGAGACGCTACTTCCAAACAGGTCACCTTCCAGGGCACCAGCATAGGACTTGAACGTAAATTTTGGAGGAGACATGTTCAATTCATAACACTGGCTTTCACCCTTCATAGGTGGGGAGCTCGACATGACTGTGGCTGTCAGTACCGACTTATTTGTCCAGCTTATAGATGCTAACCAGACTGTCCTGGATAAATTCTCTGCTGCCCCTGATCCCATTGAGCAGTGGAACAACAATGCCTGCTTTCAGGTGAGCCTGACAAGGGACTGGGGAGTAGATGGCGAAGATCCATTTTGGATATTTATCACTATACCTCAGAACTCCAAACCCATTGCCAGTGAGTCAATTCCAATTCAGAGCAACCTTCTGAGGCTTACAAAAGGAAACTGCCCATCTTTTGTCCTTAGGGGTTAGTGGATTTGAACTACTAACCTTACAGTTAACAGTACAATTGCATCTGTTTCATTTGCCATGCTTCTGTTGCAGTCAGTGACTTGTGGACCTCATCTGGATGGCTCTGATGTCTCCTGTAGTCACACACACAGTGATGTTTGTCAGGGGGATAATGGTGGCAAGACCAAAGCTGACCTCTTGGATCCCAGGGTTTCTTCATGAGACCTTTGGTCTGGACTAGTTTGAGCTTCCTCACAACATGGTAGTCCCAGGATATCAGACTGCTTCATTTTTAGTGGCTCAAGGCCTCACCGAGTAGGCTCTAGAGGAGGGCTGGGACCACATGCTGCCTTGCCTTTTTGACCCAACCTGGGAAACCTTTGATGAAAGCTCTCCAGGATTACTTCTGCCTCTCTGGGGTACCAGCTGATACCCTCAAGCCCAAGGAGAAGTCGATTAGACTCTACTTCTTGTCAAAAGGGGTATCCTGATGGTATAGTGGTTAAAGCACTAAGCTACAAACCCCATTAAGTCAGCAGATTGAACCCGGTAGTCCCTCTGCTGGAGAAAGATGCAGTAGTTTGCTTCCATGAAGATCACAGCCTTGGAAAGGGTTGTTTATAGACATCATAATTAGTAAATGACATTAATCAATGGATGCTGTTATTGTTGATTGCCTTTGAGTTGAGTATGACTCACAACGACCCTATGAACAAAAGGCCTGAAGCCTTTCTATAACTATCATCATTTATCAAAGTTGATAGAGTTTCTGGAGGCATGTTTAGGAAGTGGATGCCACTCTTGCTTCCATTAATATCTACTATATATTAATGAATTTGCATTGTTGTTGTTAGGTGCTGTATATCAGCCCTGACCCACGGCAATTCTACAGAATGAAGTGCTACCCAACACTGCACCCTTCTCCCGAGTGCAGCTGTCCCCGAGTTCATTATTGCCGTCACTCTGCCAGTCCACCCTGGTAAAGGTCTTCCTCCGTTTCACTGACCCTCAGCTTTTCCAACCGTGCTGTCCTTCTCCCGAGTGCAGCTTTTCTTCATGACATGCCCAAAGCATGTGAGACAGTCTCACGATCCTCATTTGTAAGGAACATTTTGGCTGCACTTCTTCCGAGGCAGATTTTGCTTGTTCTTTTAGCTGTTCGTGGTATATTCAGAATCCTGTGTGTACATCACAATTCAAAGGCATCAGTTCTTTGGCCTTCCGTATTCACTATCCAACTTGAACATGCTTATTTTGTTGTTGTTGATTGCCGTCAAGTTGGGCATGAATCAGTGGTAGTTAATGATATAAAACAAAATGTCTAAGAGTGTGTATGAGAAAAAAACAGTATGATTTGTAAATCTTTACATGAAAAAAAATTTTGTGAAACAGTCACAGCTGTGGAAACCACAGAGGGCAGTGTACTCCATCCTGCAGTGTTGCTGTGAGTTGCATGTGACTCTGTGGCCAGATCTGACTTCATGACTGTGGGTTTGGTTTGTTTGGTTTTCTTGAGGGATGTATAGCAAGATTCTAGAAGAGGGTATGGAACTAGAGGCATCGTGTGGCCATCTTTGGGAAGTCCTACCATCCAGGGAGCCCTGATCCCAAGCTTTGTGCTGACCCCTTTCTCTGCCCCCAGGTCAACCATGTGTTCTCCAAAGTCAAGTCAGGCATTCGCTTTGTGTCTTTCGAACACTGGGGCCAGGACACGCAGTTCTGGGCTGGCCACTACGGGGCGCGTGTTACCAACTCCGTTGTGACCGTGCAGGTCCATCCGTCCTAGTCGAGGGCTTCTCTTCTGGTTTCAACCAAACAGCCCAGCCATGTCTTGCAGTCAGTCTGGGACTGCTAAACAGCTCTCTTCATTATCTCAAGAGTTGTACCTGCCTCACATCTTGGAAACAGTGCACTGAGTTCGGGTCCTGCTCAGCCCTATCTCTGGGTTCCAGAAAATACTGGAGGAAGATTCTTCTATCAGATCCACCTGCCACTGCTGCTGTCGGATGGCCAGTGTTCTGAAGGCTGAACAAACAGGAAAGAAAGTGGATCTAAGAGAAGATCCCTGTCCCCCACGCTGGAGGTCCTCTGAGATTCAGCTGCAGGCGACTTGTCTCATCCAGTTTCTGCTTCAGTGACTGCTCTTTGGTACCTGTGGGGAAGCCCTGTCTTTATCACTGAACTGGGACTGCATTCTCACAAGGACTCCCAAGAGACATGCATTTTGGGTAGTGTTTTGCCACCTGAGGTTTCGAGCTGCAGGGCTGGGACTAGGTCCTAAAGCTGAAAACCAAAAGAGCTCACACAGTGTGGGGAGGAGATGATTTTCCACACGTTGACTTCTCTGAAGACACTTCTTGCGCCCAAATGTGGTCCTCGCAGATCCCTGTGATGGTCTAGTGTTCAAAATTATTTTCTGTTTCATTCTGAAATGTTTTTCAAGCACTGAGAGAATAGTATATCAATGACAGATCTGCCAATCACATGTAATAAATTTATTATTTTGCCAGGATGGCTTCAAAACTTTATTTAAAGAAATTCAGGCTTTTTTACTTTGCTACTTGGTACAGGGTGACTGGTGGACCCTGTGGCAGAAAGAAAATAGAGAAGAAACACAAGCTAATGTTTGGAGAGAGAATGGAAGAGTCAGGACAGTATCATTATCCATACCCAAATGAAGTTGATTCACAGCTACAGATTGTCAATCACTTAATTTTTTTTTTTAAATTCATTGCTGCACATTTTCTTACCCCTCAGGCCACCCTGCAGTGAAAAACCCTTGTTCCAGATTGTTGTCAAACACACAATGCCCAATCATATACTCCTTTCAGACAGTTCTTCCCCTCATCTGATCTAATGCAGTGCTCATTATATATCCACTCTTTCCTCATTCTCTCCCCAACCCTCCCCATGTCTGTCCTCTTTTATGACAATGGTGTTATGCAGTATTTGTTCTTTTGTGACTGAACCTATGTTGTGTAATGTTTTACGAGTTCATTGTTTTTCAGTACTGCATAATATTCCATTGTGTGAATGTACTGTAGTTTTTCTTTTCATTTGTGGATGGGCACCTGGTTTGCTTCTCTTCATTACTGTGAATGGTGCAGCAATGAACATGGGTGTGGGTACATCTGTTTGAATTATGGCTCTGGTTTCTGTAGGGTATATTGCCATTATTGGAAGTACTGGATTAAATGATATTTCAATTTCCAACTTCTTTTAATTTACATAAAATTTTTATTTTATACTTATTTACTTACAGAGTTCATACACATTGTTTTTTACACTGACCGAATCTTTCCCATTTCCTTTACCCACCCCAATTTTCAGCATTTTGAGAAAGCACCAGATTGCTTCTTTAGTGGCTAAACCGTTTTACATTGCCACAAAGAGTTCCAGTCTCTCCACAACCTCACCAGCATTTGTTGTTTGCTGCCCTGTTGAACTTTCCTATGGTTGCTGGAGTGAGATTATATTTCATAGTTGTTTTGATTTGCATCTCTGATAGCTAGGGATTTTTAACATTTCTTCATGTGTTTGCTATCTGAATGTCTTCTCTGGTGAAGTGTCTATTCATATCCTGTGTCATTCTTAAATATTTTGAGTAGATGGTAGGGGTAGACAGGATTTTTGATATAGTGTCAAAATGACACCACTGTTGTGACTAGGTACAAGGATTAAATGAGAATGTACAATGGCAAGATCAGGCTGTCCTCAGGTCACTCTTAGCTGGCATCTGGAAGCATGGATATAGGCAGTGTTCCTACCATTTCATTACTGATGGGGGATGGATCGCTGTGTCTAGAATGTTCTTGCAAACGGTATGGTTTGTGCTGAACCTGATTTCCTAGTAGGAGTCTGAGATTTTGATATGTATGAGGCAGAGGGTGCCAGTGTGACCAGAATCCAGTGAAAACTTACAGTTCTAAGCTTCTCAGTGAACTTCCCCACAGAAACATCACACAGTACAACCAGCTGTATTTTTATTGCAGGGAGCCGTGTGCTTTGTGATCCCACCAAGGAAGGAAGGCACTTAGGAACCTCTCTGCAGATTCTTCTAGATACACTTGTGACTTTTACAGTGCTGCTGTGTTGCTCGTTTTACTGCACTTTGCTTTGTTGTTGTTGTTTTGTACTGTAGAGTTGTAACCAACCCAGAGCTGACCCACTGGCAGGTTTTCAGAGGCAGTTTAATCACAGAGGAGGAGATTGCCTATCCTTCTCCCTCAGGGCAGCTGGTGGATTAGAACGAAGTGCCTTCAGGATTGTAGTGCAGCTTCTTGACACTAGGCCACAAAAACTCCCCACACTTTGCTTTATCACAGATAATTGTGGTTTTTAAACTTTAAAAAATTTAAAGTGTGTGACAACCTTTTGTCGAACAAGTCTGCTGGTGCCATTTTTGTAGCTATACGTGCTCACTTCATATTTCTGTGTCACACTTTGAAACTGGGACAGATAGGGCTCCATTGTCAAAGCATGTTCTGGGCCCAAAGACTGATTTAGATGGTCCAGGTAAATATCAGAGGCTGTATAACGGATATTTTCCCAAAGCATATATCTTAGCCGTGCGTAGAACCATATACTGGGTCTTGTGAGATCATCTAGTAAGTCTTTAAAGGTAGGGATGATGTTGGGGTGATTCTGACCCTAATGCACTAAAATATGTTGTTGTTGTTGTTGTTGTTGAGTTGCCTACTGCTCATAGAGGCCCTGTGAATGATGGATCTGTATCCTTTCCTGTCTGGTGCCATCCTCATCATCTCCGACATACATCTCATTGTTACAGTAACTGTGTCAAACCATCTCATTGAGTGTCTTCACCCACATTTCCAAGCATGATGTCTTTGCCCTGACAACATGCCCAAAATATGTGAGACAAAGCTTCACCATCCTTGCCTTTAAGAGCACCCTGGCTGCACCTTCTCCAAGACAGACTTTTTTTGTTGTTCTTTTGGCAGTCCATGGGCTATTCGGAACCCTTTTCCAACACCACAACTCAAAGACATTGTTTCTTCTTCTGTCATCCTTATTCATTGTCCAATTTTCAGATGCATAGGAAGTAATTGAAAATTACCATGGCTTAGTCATGAGTACAACTATATTCTGAATCTTGTAAGAAGTCTAGGAAGCCTTGTATTCACAACCTGGAGAAATAAACGTTTTGCCTGTATAATATTTAAGAAAAAGGAAGTCTTCAAATGTAGGGTTGGTTTGGGGGTAACCCTTACACACTGAAACCTATAGTGTTATTTTAAAAAGAGTCAAAGGAGGGCAAAACCTTGGCTGGGTGTCTGGGGATTTGCCCATGATATAAAACATCGACTTAAGTTGCTCTCATTAGAGGTAGAAGTTGTCAGTAAATTCACACTTCTGTCATTAAGTTAGTTTCAAGCTTCAGCACCCCTTCATTGGGCTTCTGTGAATGCGGCTCTTTATGAGACGAGACAGCCCATCTTCTCTCCCACAGAGCAGCTGATGAAGTCAGACTGCTAGAGACGCAGCCTTCTGATTACCAGCTCAACACCCTACGGATTGGGCCACCAAAGCTCCTTAAACATTGTCTCTATGGCTGCTTTTCATTATGTTGACTAAAATGAGGGGAAAAGGTAGCCCAAGCTATACTTTTGGGCTTTTTCCTCTGTTCTCCAGGTGGAAACTTTGGTGGGCGCAAGGAAAATTAGTTTGTGAAAGAGCACTCTAAAACCGAGGTGTTTGACACAGCTGAAGTGGCTGACACCAGTCTGAAGAGGACTCCCTTTTGTCCTAGGCCCCTCCTTCTGCTTTTTAGCGTATACAACCTATGACCACAGTCATGGCCAAAATTATCTATTATGGTAACATCCTGAGGTGCGCTTCTTCCACCCAGAATGTTGCAGGAACTGCATCTGGAAGACAGGAAACTGAGACAAAAGTTGAGTATCCCAGCCCATAGAATTTCTTGGTAAATGGGTGTTAAAAGAACACATTGAACCAATTAAATACACCACCAATACTCTTTCCCCAACTCTGTACAGAATTCTGCAAAACTGAATACAAAGGACATGTACTTTCCACTTTGGAATGCCATTTAGAATGTTTGGTTTTGGTGCTTCTTGATCTACAAATCTTTGAATCTGAATAAAAGCACTTTTATTTTCCAGAATCTCTGTTTCATTTTTAACTGTTTGTAACTTTTCTCTCTTCCAGGCAGGAGGGCAAACGGTAAACATTCTCAGAAGATGGGCTTTGAGTAGATCAAAACTGTTGATTTGCAATGCTGGACAAAAAGAATCAATCCATTTCCCAGGGTGATTACCTACTGATGCTAACAAGCTCCACAGGTGGGTGGCTTTAGTGGACAAATTTATTTTCTCACAGTTGTTTTGTGGTATTATGGACCTTCCAGAAGTGTTCAGAGGCTGTAAAATATTATCTTTCTCCTTCGAAGCAGCTGGCAGATTTGAACCACTTGCCTTTGTGTTGGCAGCACAACCCCCTATCCACTAGGCCACCATAGCTCCCTCAGTTTTGGAGGCATCTGCTTTAGGGGAAGGATTTATCTCTGTCTCTTCAGCTTCTATTCCTTGACAATTATGTGATCTGGCATCTCTCACAGAGCAGGATCATGAACAAATTAAAAGTATAAGTCTATTTTAAAATATTTTTTGTTGGTTTCCGTATATTATGTTTCATTCATATACATTGTGTTTTATACAATCTCTCATTTATATTATGTTTCATACAATCTTTAATATACATTCTATTTTACCCTTTTTTTGTGGATGGAGTTGAAACAGAAGCAAA